TACAGATATATATCCAAAAAAACCTCAATCTGCCTGAACTACCTGCTTAGTCCACAATTATTTTTTTTTTTAAAAGTTTACCTTGTCCACTTTAGTAAAGTTCTACCTTATTCTTCCACATCTCCCCATTGTAGGTTAAAGTGATCATCATTCTTACAAACCAGCATCCAGCTCTAAACCTGATTCACACCTACCTGCCTTCTCTTTATTAGTGACATTTTCCAAGACAGAATTGATAAAATCCGTTGATCAAACTGAATACAATAAAAATACTCCTGACTGAAAAAAGACATTTTACAAAAAGACCCTTATTGTTCACTAGTTACCTCTGGCAGTCCAGGCATAATGTTGTCATGCAAGCAGGGCAATTCAAAACAGCATCACTATTGGGGACAGGTGCAGGTTTTGCCTGCTGCCGTTGTGGAGCTCTTCTTTGGTTACGGTACCTACCAATGCAAGAAAGGAGGAAGGAGAGACAAAAAATTAATTACAGGCCCTTGCTGTTGGTCATATCAAGTCAACTGTCAAACCTTTCTTACATTAAAATACACCATAAATAAAGCAGGGGGAAAGCACATACCAGTATCTTTTCATTTACTTTGTACAGATAATTTTCATTTGGGGAGACAAATACACTGGCATGAGAATTTGTGCCTGATAACCCTCTCCTCTGACAAAGGAGGTATCTCAAGTGCAATCTCTGCAGGCAACATACATTAATATTATCTTATTCAAAAGATATACATGGAGAATTTTACTTCAGCTGCAACAACCATTTTTCTACTTTACCCTTCAAAACACCCTCAGTAAAGCAGATTTGTGCTGTTCCTATTTAATCTGAACATTTTGTGGCTTGCTAAATTCAAAGTTTCAAAAAATTTCCAAAAATTTCCAAAACTAGAAACACAGTATTTAGTAGGAATAGATATTAATTAACAACCAAATTATCTTACAACTTTTAACTCACAGCATGGTTCTTTAGATGAGATCTACAGACAAAACTGGCTTACAGAAGTTGGAAATCTTGATTTTAAAAATTGCAAGTTTTGTGCAGTTTTACTCAACTTCCATTACATACACATTAAACATTTTATGGGCTTCTAAATTTCATATGCTGTAAGTTATAAATAAAAAATAGTTTCGCTGGATGGACTTGACTGCACTGGCTTTTTCTCTACATTCACCATTTTCATTTAAAATTCTCAGTTGATATTAAGCAGCCAAGGATGGTCTCTTACCCTCTCCTCTGTGAGTCTACCCACTCTTGGTCTCTACTGTCTTCCTCTGGGTCATATAGCAGTTCATCATTGGAAAGAATCCGACGTTGCTGATGTTTTCTGTTTTTCCGGACATCGTGTGTATCTGGAAAGATTTGTGCAAGAATGTGTTACATCCATCAGGCATATGATAATTCTCTACTTAAATTATCAAAATATTTTTTCAATTTTCCTTTTCCATCCTCACAATAAATTTAAACTGAAACTTAAAGGTCTAGCTCATCTCTCCTCCAAATAGATAGCCCCAAAGCATTAACACACCTTACATACACTGGGATACATCATCAAGTTGCAGGAACTACACTGAGATTATATAGGCAAGTAATTCCCCCTAAAAGGCTTCCTTCAGGAACAGCCTCTTGACCCTCCCAAGAGAATTCTACAGGGTCTGAGAGTGAGAAGTACCATAAAGATGCCCTCCTCTCTCCTCTGTCATTTACCTGTTTTATCTTCATCCTCTGAATCAGAATCAAAGTAAATATCATCATAGTATTTTGAAGTGGTGGCAGGTCCAGTCTGCCCAGTACCTGACGAAGTACCTATGGGTGCAATTAGAGAAAGAAATGGTAGGAACACGCCAACAAAAGGACAGCAAGTACACAGCCCAGAACAAACCTTCACTTTCGTTACTCTATCCAGAGTGCTCTGCTCTATCTGGGTGTGTTAAGTAACAGCTCTCCCAATTTATTCCCATATCCTGATCATCCACATCACTTGTGTTATTTCACTTACAGGTGAAAGCTGCAAAGCTACTCCTTCCCTCTGAGATGAACCTCAGGAAGGTTTAAAGGAAGGTTTCTCCCAAGGTACACTCCCTTTAGGCACAGAGAGCACCACAACAAATATGCCTATCTCTGCCCTGTGTAATACACACAAGACACTCCACAAATCTTTAGTCATGTGAAAGAAATACAGGTGTAGCACATTGTTTCACAAACTTTGATTACAATAAAATTCACTAAAAAAGTCTCCCAAAATTTCAGGGCCACAGAAGTTCAAAAAAGACCTAGATGAACCGCCAAACACATGCATCATGGCCTCTCTGCACCAAAACTCCTATCCTGTGCTGTATGGATGTGGTGGTGTAAATATTGCTATATATTCTTAACCGAACAAAATCATATTTGGCCACTAACATAAATAAAACTAATAAACACGTTGAATGCAGAGTCAAGTCCCCAGACTGATGTGACTACTACATTGATTCACCAGGACATTAAGAACACTTCGCAAGTTGTTTTGTAATAAGTAAAAACATACACTAGTCAAATGCCAAAGCATCCATCTCTTGCACTCATAATATACAAACTCCAGAACATGGGTATCTTCAATACAGTTTTACTATTTGCTGCAACAATTATGAGCGGGTAAGGGAGGAAGCGATCAATATTTTTCCTGTTTCCCCCAACCGATTCAATATACCAGATGCTATTCCTTTCTTCAAGAAAGGCCTCCAAAGCTTGACAGCCATCCGGAGCCACTAGATAAAGTACAAGAGACTGCAACCTGCTCAAGAGGCTTCTAAACACGCATGAAAGAACTTAAAGAGATATTGGAAAAAAGGAGTCTGACCTAACAGAAAGAAATCATACTAAAGCAAGTAATCAGAAGTTCAAAACCACCAAAACTGAAGTCTTAAAAAAATGAAAAAAAAAAAAGCATTCACTGAAACAGCACCTTGTGATCATTTCCACAGGCACCATCAGCCATTTTAAGACTTTTCCCTTGGCTTCAAAAAACTCAACTATCACTGCATACACAGCCTCCCTAGCCATGAGCATACTACATTAACTTCACTTAACTCATGATTTTTATATGCAAGCAGCTGTTAAGCATGATTTACCCATTTCTGGTGATTTCCATTTGCCTTCCATAGTCTTCATGGTGGTGTTCAGTTCTGCTTCCATCTCCTTTTGGAACTCATCATCACTGGAAGACTCGCTCTCCCCAGTCAGGCACTCTCGTATCAGCTTCCGCTTCTGGTCAGGAGTGCCGTGTAGGAGCACAGCCACCTCATCCTCTGAGCTACAAACATTTAAGCGTTACACACCTAATTGTTGCAACCAGTTTAAAACACAGACGTAGTGACTTGGAGAACAAACACCTGAATTGTGTGGGTTCACTAGGAAACATTTACTCATATATTTATGGAAAACGTACTTATTAAAAGACTTTATTAGCTTGGTGATATTAAAACTCTGGTTTAAACGCAAAGGAGCTTCAGCCGACTGTGTCCCTGCAGCTCCCACTCCGCGCAGGAGCCGTTTTAACACACCGCCATCGGTGCGGTCAGAAACGCGAATACGCCGGTTCCAGGGAAGGAAATCCCGCGGCTATTGCGAGGCCGATCCTCCTGCACCCCGCCAGCGGCCCAGGCCCGGGGGGAGCCCCGGCGCACAAGGCGCGGCCTGGCCCAGCGCCCGGGCCCGGAGACGCCAGGCGAGAGCAGGACCCCTGCCACCGGCCCGAGCCACCCCGCGGCCCGCAGCTCCAGGCACCCCGGGCTCGCCCGCACCTGCTGAGAGCCCGCTCATCGTCGCTGGGCTCCTCCACCACGTACGGATCGTCCTCCTCCCACAGGCGGCTCATGGCGGCATCCGCCACAATCCCCCTGCCAGGCCCGGCCCCGCCCCTTCCGCGCGGCCCCGCAGCTTCCGGCGGCCGAGCCCGCCCGGCCCCGCCCCCGCCCCGCCCCCTCGGCCCGGCCCCGCGGATCCCGGGCGGCCCCGCCGGTCTTTTCCCTTTGCTCCTTGGAGTTGCAAGCCTTCGGGTCACGTTTTAAGCACTTTGCTCCGGCGTTACCGAGCCGGGATTAGAGTTTTAAGAGACACACCCAATACCAAGAGGATTGAAAAAAGTTTAATGAGCTAGTAACACTGAACAGCAAAAACTAACCTAAAAACTGTTCCCACATCCTACTTAAAATATTTACAATTTTGGTAACTGTATATACATTGTCATCTTTGTCCCTTATAGTCTATTTATAGATGAGTTCCTTAGGAATTATACCTGTTATATTTGGGAGATGAACAGCACAGTATTAGTGCAATAGGCATTGGTGGGAATACTCTGGACTAGGCGAGTTGCCAAGAGCCATTGGGCAATGGCCATCGAAGCCTGAGGTGATGCGTACACGAATCAACACACAATGCAAACTCCTCTGCAATGTTCTGATGTGCAAGGCAGCAGGGTAAGTATACTACACTGTGCAATTCACCTTATTTGAGAAAAAAAACAAAACAAAACAAATCTTTCACCTCTGGTACAGGGCATCTGTAACCACAGAGACATTGACTTACACTGATCTGCACTTCCAAATATACCATTCACCCAAAATTCTGCTGCTCCACTGAAGGCCTACAAACCCATATAAAGCAGCAATCCCACTGTGAAGAGCAATTCATCAAGTCAAGCCTAATTTTACAACATCTTGAAACTACACAACAGAACAGCACCTCTTGGAAAAAATCTGTGGTTCAAGTAAGAGACACAAATCAATACAACTATTAAAACTGGCTTCATAGTTCTAAGTTCAGTTAGCAGAATGAGATCTTTTTCACACATTCCTTCATAGGGGATACCTTCACTTTTTTTTTCTGAAGCAAATCTTTTTATCTCTATCACAGTGGGGCAGTATTACATTTCATAGATATTTTATGCACTTTCTGAACTCCCTTCCACTACTACTTCACTTTTCTGGAAAGAAACCCCCAAGAAGTTCTCTATAAAGTATTTCTGCCAAAGAAATTGCAGAGTCAGCCACCAAGCTCAAAACAATTTAAGTACACTGGATAGGAAAGACACAGACAAAGAGATAAAACCTGAGAATGCAAGTGAAAAAGTACCGGGCGAGTAGTGTCAGACCAATCCAGTACTTAGTCAATGGTTTTTACGTGATGAGTAGAGAAAAAAAAAATCTAATTTACTAGAAAATATAAAGCTTACAGATGATACAATGTCTGCATAATTTTAGAAAAATCATTGATTTCATGGTTTATTTTACAATAATTGGATTAGTCTACAAGTTAAGGCAAACATACTAATGCATCTGCTTTTCTTTTTAAATCATAGTTATAAAGGTTACACAAAATTCTCCAAAATTTCTAAGAAATGTTCACAATTGAAAAAAAGATAAGTATTTTGATATCAGTACATGGAAAAAAACTAAGACAGTGTATACAATGTCATTATAGTAACAATATTGAAATATCTAATGGTAATATTTAGGCCATTTGAACAATGTGTTTCCAATGGTGAACTTCAGAAATTACTTACAAAGGTAAATAAGATTGCAGCTGTATCATAGTATTCATAACATGAATATGATTACATTGGCTATTTTCACAAAACCCGAGCATTTGTTTTCTGAACAATGAAAGCATATAATGATTAAATAAACATGAATATGTATGTATAACAAGTATACTGTTCATATAGTCTGGAGCTACTTTCAGGTGTTTGTTCTAATTCTTTTGAAAGAAGAAGCTTGCTTATGTGCACTTTGTCAAATGTTTTCTCCGGGGAACTGTAAATGCCTATTTAAAGTTATGAAAACAAAATCCAGAGGAGGGCAGCCCTTGTTAGTGGGAGGACGGAGCGTAGCTTATGTGTCACCGTTTAACACTGCCAGACAGCTCTGCAGAAGCTGTAAGTTACCCTGTAAAAATAAAGAAAAATATCACCACATTTCTCTTCTTTCTTTTATGCTTGTGACAGATGTTTTTTAAATAGCAATACCAGCACCAAAGCAGAACAGACAAGTTTTAAGCATATGGAAAAATACTTCTGTAAGAAACTTTTATCCTAAAAGAGTTTTTTGAATGTAGGAATATTGTGTCATGGAACTAAATGGAGCCAACTTGAGATTCAAAAATAAGCACTTAGTACCATTTTCAGGTTTTCTCCTCAAGATCTAGTCTAGTCACAAAAACTATTAACTGCACAGCACTCTCTCAGGAATGAAGTTCATAGTTGCAAAGTTTTAAATTTTTTATATAGCAAGTACCATTAGTCTGTGACTGGAATATGATTCCCAAAGCGTAAGTATGCATATATTACACTCAGAACTGGATTCATCAACAAGTATTAAACAATTCATAGCATTCAGGATTTCCTTGCTTATAGCAGTCATCCCAGCTCACAGCTCTGTTCAAGGACAGGCCTTGTTTGAAAGACAGCAGCCTGATTTACCAGCTTAGCCAGGTGATTTAGCCATCAAAGTTGAGTTTAGCAATAACATCTGGAGCTACAGAAGTGATTATCAGAATATTACCTCAGCTTAACTCTAAACCAAGCTCTGCCCTTCTTTCCAAACACAGTTTTTAATCTTATTTAAAGCATTCTGATTATACCATAAACAGACTGATTTTCAGGTATCTGAATGAATTTACAGAACCGACACCTTTGTGAATTGAACCAAATATGATTGACAAGCCAGGATTTACTTTGCAGGAAAAAAAACACCAAAACAACACGGTATTCACAATATTCACACTGTTTTGTGCATTCATTTACACTTAGATCATTTTAAACTACTAGCTATTCACTATGAAATAGCTGGACTAGATTTGTTGCCAAATCTGAAATCTCTGTGTAAGAAGAAAATGTCAGGCTGTTGACAGTGTTAAGAGTAATTCCTGTCAGATTCAGATAAAATGCAGAACACACAGTTTTCTGACTGCCCAGTTATGAACATGAGAAAAGCTGCTTACTTTTATCAAAAATGTTGGATCCAAAAAGAAACATGTAAAGAAAACTTCAGACAGACAAAAACATGTGAGTAGCTGTGATTTGCATGCCCCTCATAAACAGTCCACAGAAGTACTGAAGAATTTGTAATGACTTTTTCAGTTAAAAGCATTCCAAATGACCTGTGGTAGATAAGCAGAAGGACACATCCTTCATCCCAAAAAGGTAAGAAATCATAATTCTATCCCCCATTAAGGGTCTTATAATCCAGATTAAGCAACTAACTGATTTAAAGGCTTCAAAGCAGAAGATTCCCAGTTATGCCTACTGAATCCTTCTCAGTCTTATCCCAGAAGGCAGCAATTTCAGTTGCAGCTTTAACAGTTTTCTTGTCCTTTTATGGCTATATTGGCAAAGGAGCATCACAAGCTGTTTCTTAGAAGGCTTGTAATTCTGTGATATGAACAAGTTTTATATAAGCAAGATACATGGGGACTTCATGGCCTATCTTTGTGGTGTACAGAATTCATAAACTAAGGTCTCTGTTACTGAAAAGCTGATTATTGACTGTAATGAACTAATGAATGAAAATCAATACTTCAGTCCAAAGTATACTTGTGAACCGCACATGTTACTGGTAACAAAAGTGTGACAGGAGTCTTTTGGCCATGTTCTTACAGCAGCATGAAGTATATTGGCAATTTACAGGCCATTGTGTAGCAATCTAAATAGACAGTACATACATCTGTTGTTGTTTTCACTGGGGGGGCGTTAATTGCCTTCACAGTGTCTAATATGGGGATGTGTTTTGGATTTGTGCTGAAAACAATGTTGATAATATTGAGATGATGATGTTATTGCCAAGCAGCTCTTACTCAACCTTTTCTGCTTCTCATACAGCCATGCTGGAAAGGTGGCTAGGGGTGCATGGGAGCTGGGAGGAGACAAGTCGGGACAGATGACCCCAAGTGACCAAAGGGATATTCCATAACATATGACACTGTGCTGAGTAGATAAAGTGGGGGAAAGAAGAAGATTGGGGGCATTCAGAGTGTTGTCTTCCCAAGTAATCATTACACATGATGGAGCCCTGCTCTCCTGGAGATGGCTGAACATCTGCCCGCCCATGCCAAGCACTCAATTAATTTCTTGTTTTCCTTTGCTTGTTTGTGCGGCTTTTGCTTTCCCTATCAAACTGTCTTTATCTCAACCCACAAGTTTTCTCACTTTTACTCCTCTGATTTCCAGTTGCCAGCCAAGTGAAACCATGAAAACGTCCTTTACACATCAGTCATTTCCAAAGTCAGTCAGCCAGACTACTAAAATTTTCCAAATACACATATAATTTATTTTCATTTGATCAAATTTACAAAGTTGAAAAGAACCACCTTATTTAAATTATAATAGATCAAGGGCATTACTCTTTCTGACTGCAATATCTGACATACTTGACCTATATAAGTGCAGCTCAAGAAAGTCCTATACATTCAGATAAATTCAGAAAAGTGTTTTTTGTGAGCTGAGACTCCTAAGCTGTAGATATTAAAATTACTGGCAAAACCACAGTGACAGAAACATCCTTTTCAGGAAAGAAAGAATTACTGACAAAACATTTCATCAAATCCCTTAGCACTGCATTTTGCTTACTTCCTTCTGTCAGTTCCAAACAGACTTTTGTTGCTAGTAACACAAGAAATTATTTTTAAAAAAAAACCAGGGAGGCAAGAGCAGATATATTAATATTTGTGAGGAAAATACGTTTCTATTTTTTATTTGTTTTTATTTGAAGGGAGTGGCTATCTTAGTTACAATTCATATGTCAAAAGACTCTAAAACTACAGCCAAGGCTACAAATGCTCTAAGTATATGATTATAACCTTAACAGTTTCACCAGCTATCAAACCTCCCTTCTTGGACATGAAGTCCAACACAGGAACACTGCAAAATCCAACTGTTTAAAATACTGAACAGTACACCAAATGCAGCTTTTGCATTAAAATGGCCAAACGCTTAATCAGATCTCAAATTAGCTTCAGCTGTATGAAGTCATGAAGAAACACAGCACTAGCAAAACAGAAGCACTACCGAGGGGGATAATCAGCCGGAATGGCCGTACAAAAAGAAACATCAATCTGTTTAGTATAGGTCAGAGACCAAGGAGAATCTAAAGCTGCAGCTCAGCAGCTATTCTAAGTAAATCTAGGGTACATGATGCTGCTAAGAAGGCAGCACTCTTTTATTGCCACACCCTCCCAGTCGAATCTGTGTATACAAGTGATGCTGTGAAAACAAGACTTAAAGTAAATCTTAGAAAAACCCAGAGCAACTTTAAGCTCCGTCTTACTGTGCAGCTGCACATATAATTGTGCCAACATACAAGAAAGAAACAGTCATGCATCATCATACTTCCTGGCAAGAGCCTGCACTTTCATCAACTTACAGCAATCTCAAACCACAGTCTGATTTTTAGCTTTTTTCAGAAGTCTTGATTTGCAATCAGGAAAGGATCAGAGGATATCAGCAGATTTAAAGAAGTATTTTATAGGGAAGTAGTATAACTGTAACTGGGCAGTGAGGGTTCACTTAGTATTTGTATATATAGTGTCCTTGATTTACTCAAAGTTTATTTCCCTATCACCCATCCAGTCTTCTAGAGCTACACAGCCAGATACAGCTCACAAAATGCAAGCCATGTCTCAGAACCTTCTCTCAATACTTTGGTCATTCTGACTTTTTCAGAGCAGCGACCTCTGTGTTGGGATTTGTGTTTTTAATTTCCACACAGAGCAAATAACTTTTAACAGTAAGTCATGCAGCAGCCTTCCTTATGGCTGAATTCCTCCAAAAGACAGCCTCTCAGGCTGAGAGTTCCAGCACCCACGGCTACATCGTATTTCACCTCCTTGTCTTCTGTGCCAGGCAGCTCCAAGTCCAGAAGATACATGGCGAGACTGATTCAGAGACATCTAGTCTGGACACACACACTACAGCAAAAGAAAACCCACAACAGCAGACTTCTAGCAACAGCCTGCAGCAGTGGTGTCTGTTGTTCACAGACCTCCTCCCCACTTAACATTTTTGCTGGAAAAAAACACTTAGACCTGAATAACAGGTCGTGTTTCAAAGTTTGCAAGTGGTGTGCTCAACACGCTATTGACCAAGCAATTGCCATTTTGTTGTTGCTAAAACTTCACATGCCTGCCTCCAGTAGGTGCAGAGGCACAAAGAGACTGCTACAGCATCAGGCAAAGTATTTTGTCCAGAACCTAGAAGCAGGAGCTTTCGATCTGACTTAAATAATATATTGCCTACATGAAAAAAGCAGGGGTTTTTTTGCTTCTACTAGTCCTCTTTTGGCTGTACCGCAAGAGGAATTGAATTAGGTGTCTAGAAACAGCTCAGCTTAACCCAGCCAAAACCAGGGCTACCTAGCACCCCCTGAAATGAGAGCCTCAGAATCCATATAAAGAAAAACACAGCAACAAAACTGGTCCATCTGTAGTAGCTTACCTTGTTTTAAATATGAAACACTGGCTTTGAAAAAAAGAGAACTTTCAAACCTCATGAGAAATGAAATATCCTTTCCTTCAACAGGTCACAATATTTGCTAACATTTTGAGAATTGTCACCCTTAGTCAAAATGGCCTTTTATATTGTAAAGCTTTAAATACTTAAAACTATCTAGTGAATGTTGTGCTCTATGATGAAGTAAGTGAAAAGGGTCAGCAGCAATTCACCTTCAGAAACAGAACTACAATTCAAAGCTTCTATTACAGCTTTATATGCTCCTTCTTAGTAAATTCACTAAGACAAGGTAAATCAGAGACTATCTGAAGAACTAAGTCCTAAACAGAAGCTGTGGGGACAACAGCTAAAAAACTTCAAGCTCTTCCAGGTAAACAGAGGACACCAAGCACAAATCAAGTAAGTTGAAAGCTACATAAATTAAGCATCTTCCCCCTCCCTTCCACAGTTATTAGATGTCAAAATTCAAGAGAATATTACTATAAGATAGTGACTTTTACAGATAATAGAAATGATTCTTTAAGGATACTTTAGAGGATAGAGACATTGTTTAAACATTCCACTCCAGGGCATGTGGGGGCTTCAGCAAGGGTCAGTTACAAGAGATGAAGAAGAGTCAGTGACTGAAGCAGGACAGAAGCCTGTGGATTCATTCCCTTATTAAAAGCATGATATGGCAAATCAATAAAAACTATTGCAACTAATGACTGTTAGGACTATTTAAAGTAAGCACTATTCATCTGAAAAAGGAGTCAAGTTTTCCATATCTTGTTGATTGCTTTACCAGCTAAATATCCCATTAAGCTGAACTTATACCTACAAAGGTTAAAAAAAAAAAGAAAAAGTCCCCCAAACAACCCTTTTTACAGTACATTAGTTTCATTAGTTTTACAAACAAAGGGTTTAGCAGAATGAAGAATGACACCCTCAACACTACTGGAAAGACTGTAAAGCAGCAATACACCTTGTAACTAGTCCTTTCAACAGATACCTTTTAAGTTAATTCACAGCTTCATAACCGGTGCAGTTTCAGATTTGTGATAAGAATGAGAAATGCTAAAGAGCTGATTTTTAAAAGAAAGCTGCCTCCTAGGACTGTTGTACTTGTCTATGAAATCAGAGCGGCCAACCATATTTTTATATGGATTAAAAGAATCAAATACATTGTGAAATTTAAGGACATTACAGGCCTCTTAAAGCTTTTTTCCTACAGAAATTAATTTTCCTGAAAAGGCTATCTGCAACATTTCTCTCTTGTTAATACTTTAGAATTTAAAGGCAAAACTGTTCAAAAAGCATACTAATCATATTGATCTGAGTTCAGGTCTGTGTGATCTCATGCTTAATAGTTAACCTATCCTGTACATCAAGTCCCAACATCTGGATAACAGGAGAAACCACTTCCTGTCCCATGGTAAAATGGTAAGATGAGGTTTTAAAAATAGGCAGGTTTTCAAACTCTGCAGCTATAAATATCAAACAGCTAAAGAAGCATAAAACTGAAGCCAAAAGTGTCTTTGAAGAGATGAGCTTTCCAAAGGCACCTCAAGCATACCAATCTCTCAGAGGTACTTCACCAATATTTTTTTTTCTCTATTATTGAAGAAAGTTCACCTTTCTGGATGATGTTTAAATTCAAATGCCCCTTCCTGAACATGAAGTGTTCACACAACAAATATAGCCATTTTGGTTAATCAAGCATACAATATTAAAAATTAGTTGAAACATAGGCCAAAAAAGATCACACTTACCTTAGCATGCTTTAATTCCAGTTCTGCTAGTTCCACCAGATTTTTTCTGAATGCTGCAACTCTTCTTGTCTTAAAGTCTATCAGTTCTAAAGAAAATAAAAGTGGACTCATTAACAGTATCCTTGCTAGTGGCCTCAGCTGTTAACAGACTTTCCTTCAGGATGGAGGAGGTAAAGGGTGAGAGAAAGCAAAAGGAAAAAAATCAAGTTTAATCTCAGCACATTCCAGGCTCAAAAATACTGCTACACAGTTGGATGAAAGCAAACCACCATTGCAGTTCCTCACCTCTAGGTAGCCTTTTGTGGACAAAAAGCTCTTTTGAAAACAGACTGCTTTTAACATTTAATTCTCTTATTCCACCTGCACTGTTCTTTCAAGGCTGATATGTGAAAGTCTTTAGGGAATATACTAAGCTAAAACTAGAATGAACTACACCATGCTTTTTTCATATAGCTTTGTGGTTAACAGGATCACTCATTCTCCACTGTCTCATTTACAGGAATCACCAACCAGATTTACTGGCTCAAACAACCCTTAAATGATAAAAACAGAAGAACACGTGTTTAAACCTTGAACAAATCTGCCCCAAACGATGAGTTAGATGACTACTAACTCACAAAAGTATAAACCTAAAAAAAGACAGTAAGTTTCAGTGAAATCTCATTTCATTATTTCTCCCTTCTCTAATGTAGTATCATATATGAGACAGACTGGTGCCTCACAGAATAATGCATAAAACCAAAAGGGGAATTTCAACAACACTTTAAAAGATTTGACTGCCATTACTGCTGGCAGTTATTATTTTGTTTCACTGCTTATGCATATGAAAAAAAGAAGTTAACAAGTAGTTTGCACCTAGACTTAGCTCTGCCTAATGGAGCTTTGAGGAACCAAAGAAAAGTATAATTTGAACTTTCTAAAATAAGTAAATACTGATTAAAAAATAATAGCCTTCCTTAGGAAACATTACGAAAATGTATTCTCATTACTAGCATCCTAAAATCTGTTAATTTTCAAGTAGTAATATAGGATCAAGGACCACCCAAATACCTTGTTTTGCCGATTCAGAAATTTTCTCAAATTTCTGACAACATATTTGTTGAGTAGTTTCAGCTTGCAGCACATCTTTATTTTTTGCTCTTGCTTTATCCAATGCCTTATTAGCATTTTCATAATCCACTAGTGACCTAGATCTTCTGTATAGGAGATCCTATTAAAAAAAATCCCATAAAGTTTGTTTAGAGTTTACAAGACTCTACCCAAGGATTTTATTATATACGAAGTAATTAAAAAAAATCAAATTAATTTTAGTTCTTCTTGCTGTATTTCAGTTCTTATTAAATAATTTGCATTCACTTAGTTCATCCTGCAAGACCCACAACATAATACTGTTTGGCCTCCATCTTGTTTGACAGAGGCTAGCACCAGATGGCTTAGACAAAACTCCAAAAAGCCTAAAAAGGCAAATTATAGGAAATTTCACAGCTTCTTAGATTAGAAACAAACTACATTTAGATTACATATTTTGAATACACAGAAGGCCCAAGAAACATCAGTAACGTTTTGCTGCGCAATAGTTATTGCTGTGATCATCTATCTAGAGATATTTTTCATCCAGTGCTTCCTCATTCTCTGATGTTATTTCATCATCTTACATCCAACAACAATAAGAATTAAATTTTCTGTAGCCACAGAGTATCAAATTTGGCCCATGTGTTTTTGTATCAGCACTAGTAGATCATATGGAGTATTCAATTTAATATTTAAAGAAAGGTAGCATTGCTTGCACTTACAAGCACCAAACACATTGCAAACACACAAAGAATTCACAAACAGCTCTTCGACTGTTTCTTTTGTTATACTGCATGATTTGGCCTGACAAGTGCCTCACACAGTTCCACAGTCAGTCCCACAGTCAGCAACTGCATTGTTACTCCTTACATACAAGAGAGATACAGGTTTTACAGTTAAGGGAGAAATTACAGGCTAGAGGTGGCGGCATTTTAACCTGTCTATATTGTGTGTTTCTCAAGATCATCCCTTATCACTTTCTCTCTCCCTTTTATGTCAAAGAAACACAATGCCACTGAACAAAGACCCATAAATTCACCTTAGCAGCTTGAGATTCCCTAAGGTAATATTTCAGAAGATCAGAAAGTTTAAGATCTTCATCAGCAGATACCCGAGCCTCTATTTTCTGGAAAAACAGAACAAAACAAAACACCACCACCAAACAGAAAAACAGTAAGTAAAAGCATCAAGTTAAAAACATGGGTATTCACTTGTATGATACAAATTCAGTGTAAAATATACAGTACATGACAGATTGTCTTTTTCAAAAACTAAGATCAGACATTATTGACAGAAAACATGCAAAAGGAGAAGCAGTATTAGGATTTTGTATTAAAATGTAAGCAATAACCTACTGTGTGAGCAGTAATTGACAACTAGATTTCTATGTAACACACAGCTTTATTTTACCCCCAATATCAACCATATAGATCATATGCTAGAAAAACCTCAGAGAAACAAAAGCTTGTATTAAGAGTTGCACAAGAAGTTTTATGTTGTTGCTGAGATCAAAGGAAAACCAATTTTTAAGGCACCTTTGCGGACTAGTTTTGTAACTGCTTGTACTAAATGCTCTAAAAAGACCAATAAATTGCTTGTATTTGAAACAGATATTTCTATGAATTTAGAAACAGAGTTTGTAGGTGCATTTTTTAAACCCTAATTTAAAAAAAATAATTTCTAAAACATTTTGAGTCAAAGCAAGTACTGCTGTTAATTTTCTTTAAAGTACATGTTTATGCAGATACAATTGTCTATTAGGAAATGCACACATTTTTCATTTGAAAGTTTTCCTGATACATGGCATACATCTGCTTTCTAGTAAGCCAAACAAATAAGGCAAAAGAGAGAAGATATTTGAAAATCTGCTTAGAAGCATCAGCAGTAGTATTTCCAACTCAAGTAACTGCAGAAACAGATCTTGGCTCCAGAAGAATGCAGCATGACCACCAATTTTTGGATTAAGGATTACATTTCTTCATTTCTTTTATCCATAACAAGTCATGTGATATGCAGTAACAGTTATGGAAGATCTTTCTGCCTTTTAGAGGAACAGAAGCTTTACTAGTGTATTACAGGAAGACTGCCAAGAAATGTTTAATGGACTGAAGATTCCTAAGGTTCATTTTACAAAATCATTTTACAAAACAGATGAATGAAATCTTATGCTTTCTCATTCCATACCACACATTGCTTAAATGCTTCATATAGAAGCACCTATAAAACATGCACATATTAATGTCTAATTGACACACAACATTAGTTTCATAGTACATACCCTTGTTTTGTCAAATAACTCTGACACCTTCAGAAAAAACCTGCACAAAGGAAACAGCTTATATTACAACATTAATTTGAACAGTCTAATTACTTTCTAGAACTCAAATTACAGTCTGTGTCTGGCAAAAAAGACTGCAAAAGCACAGTTTAGAATTGTAATTCACAGAACTCAGAGAACACACTAGTTTCAAACTGTAGCACTTCAAACATCTAGGAACTGTGCAACTACGAAAAGGCAAAGGATGGGTTTTACTAAAGAATAATTGCAGAGCTTCTCAAGGATTCTTTATGCTTCTGTGAATTAAAGCCCAAGCACCAGCACCCTGGTTAACTGTCTTACACTTTTATCAGGTGTTCTTCACTTAAGTTGAATGTACTTTTCTTCACACAGTAAACATGGGGCACATCTTCATCACAGGAGACAATACAAGGCTTCAGTCTAACAGCAGACTAAATTACAGTCAAATTATACTATTTTGACAGAAGACAGATGTGATTTCTGACAGACCCTAACAAACTACAACAAATACAAATACTCTTAACAAGGTAACTGATATGTAAGCTATCAACACATTTGAAAGTATATAACTGTAATTCAGGTAAATTAATAAAAATAAGTTAACTTTCATATTCATCTCCTACCTGTCATCACAGTGACACTAACATCACACTAATGAACTCGCATGCATATTCACAATGCTGACATCTTTAAGTTAGTTAACTAAGTTTTACTTGCAGATACACCAAACTCCATCTTCAAGCAAATCACTAAAAGATTAAAGGACAAACATCTGTACATAAAGACCCTCTTCTATTTTCAAAGTTCTGGGGATCTCTGTAGATTCCTTTATTTGCCTAAATGTGCTAGAACAGCACAACTGTTTTTCAAGACGTTGGTACAGAGAACACTCAAAAAAAATCTATATACTCAGACTGATACCTGTGCTTGCTGCACACATCAAAGCACTTATTTTAAAAAAATTGTGAAAGCATTTGGTTTCTTTCTTATTCTATGAGGACTTTTCCATCTCAACTATGTAATTTTCTACAAACTGCAGAAAACAGCATTTTTACAAACAAATATTTAAGCAAAAATATTAAAAGCAGCCTGTTACAGAAATGAAATACTAGAGAAAAAATATGTTAATGTGATATAGCTGTAATAAACTGTGGTTTTCTTATAACAAGAGCTAATAATCTCAGCGGGTCACCATTAAGACTGCTACTTATCAAACTACCCTATAAATTATTAACAATATCTTACTTGCATATATCTGTGGAGTCCTGCGTTCCTAATGCATATAATGAAGACCCAATTCTATTGTAGTCATCCGCCACATCTAGAAAAACAAACAAGCACTTGTTTTAATACTTCATTCTTCTTCTTTCTGAAAATTTTGAAGTTCCTCTCTTCCTTCGAGAGTAAGAGTTTTTCTAAAAGGACATACTTTAACACAAAAGCAGAAATAAAATTGCAATCACGTCACTTTTTAGGAAGGATAACTGAGCACAATAAAAATGGTGCCCTCACCAAATTGCACAGCCTGTAATTTACCTAGCAATATTTTACACGATTAGAACCTGCTGGCTAAATTTATTGTGAAACTTTGTTAGGTTTCGTTTTGGTGGAAGATGTACAAACTCAATGGTTAAAGTCTGAATTTAAATCTGAGTTTAAAGCTATCTGAAAAAAAATAATAATCACAGTTTAACAACGACAAAAAAAGTCTGTGTGCTTGAGAGCAGTAAACTGACTACAAATTCCAAACTACCAGAAACAGAGTGCTATGTGCACAGCATACTTTCTAGTACTGTCTAGTTTTCAGGAAACCCTTACCTCATCAACAGTCATCGGTAAAGTAGCATTAGTTTTAAAGCATTTTAAACAATGAAATTACAAGTGGTATTTGTATGAAGGCTGTATAATTTGACTAGTGAGGTATTGCCATATAGTAATCATAAAAATCAAATTTCTGCACACATGACTTTTATAAAGAGCTTTTAGTATAAACTCAGTGGATGATGAAAACTCTCACAGATCCAAGCAATGAACAGGAAAAATATATTTGCTTGTTATTTGTGCCTTTAAGCAGAATTTTGTTTTTTTAAATAACATAACCTTGTTTTAACATTATGAGTGGGTCAACTTCCACCCAATTCATTACTCCATACATCATCAGTGCAGTTGGTTACAGTGAAGAACAGTATTAGGAAGCTATTAACCTCCCCTTCTATTCCTCCCATTTCAACATAAACATAAGATTTTCTGCTGGAAATAGCAAGTCAGTGTCTTTACAAGCCCTGCAACTCTCTGCCAATCATAAGTTATCCATAAACTACAGTCTGCTCATTTCTAAAACAGGCTTCCCAGGTCTTTGCTTTACTCTGCTAGCCAGAATTTCAAAAGGTGCCATTTGTCCCAATTTGCAGTTTGATAAAAGTTGTCAACAAACATCCTGTGTGACTTCAGTTTGAAAACCACTGAAGCTCTGTCATGAGTTTAATCAATCCTTTCCTTTCCTCTACAACCTCATTTCAAACGATCTTCCTGGTTCTACAACCAATGTAAAAGGCCTCCTCACTATGTAGATAAATCTTGGCACTTAACTTCTATGAATGAAGTTCAGTTTTCACTTTAAGAAAGCAAACAAAAACACCAGAAACCTCTTCAGGTGGGAACTGAATGCAGACACAGGGCCCCTCAATGGTTCATTAAGCCATAACTCACTCACTCTGTCTCCTAGCAGAGATACTAAAGCTACAAGACTAAGCCTTCATACAACAATAACAGAAGCATCAAAAGAACTCAGTAAATTCTTGGTTTAATGTCTCATTCAATATCCACTTCAGAGGTCTTATCAATGGAGATTCATAAATGATTTTGTGACCTGCTTTTGTGTGAACTATATTACTGTAGATAGCAAAGACAGAATCTGTAAATCAAACACAAACTTCAAGAAAGTAGACAGAATCTAGTAGATCAATTTGGATTTATCTAGGCACAAAAACTTACAATCAAGGGCAACAGAGGTAATTTTTTTCTGAGTTTCTCAAAACACAGTAATCCTAAGCCAAACACAATAGTCCTAACTCAAAGCTTTTTCATTTTCTCAAATAAATGCACTGCACTTGAGAAGACTATCCAGAGCTTTCATAAATCACATTAGCCAGCACTCAGCTCAGGAACAGAAATCAATAGCCAAGTGGAAAAATCTTGTCTCAGTAAAAAAAAAGGGGTCCTGCAAACCAGGCTACTGAATGTACACATTCCAGTCTCCACTCTAAATGGATGAAAAATGGAAACCCAGTCTAGAACTCATTTCCTAAGTAGGAGTTTGCTACTTACAAAGGTAACTTCGCTAGCACAGTAATGCAATGCCTAGTGTGCCAAGAAATTGCACTCTGATGAAATCAACCTCATCTAATCAAAAACAACTTCACTAGGTGTAAAATCATATGGACTGCTATATTACCCAACTCTACACCTTAATGACTAAGAATCAGACTTCAAAAAATAATACATAACATGTTTCTCTTCAAGCAGACAGCATGAAGAGTCAAGGTATCTTCAGTGTCACACTAGGCTGTTCTTACTCCATCTAGTCTACTACAGCAAAGCCTAAACTTTGAAATTCAGATTTAGACTATCTGAAGGCTACACTTGGAGAAATAAATTCACTTTTTGCATGCAAAAAGAAAAAAAATTACTTCTCCTCATGAACAACTTCTGTCCACTTTAACTAGTACTGTTTTCACCCTGGGAAAAAAACCTTACTTTTATGTGATTTTGTCATTTTATCAGATTTGGCAGAGGCATCTTTGACTCGATTGTGATATTCTACAAGGAATGTTCTTTCATGTTCAAAGAAGTCATCCACATCCTACAAAAAAATAAAAGAGAACAATTAAAAAAACCAGTATTCACTCACTCTCTACAGAGCAATTGCAGAGTAAATTTACACATCGCTGTATGCAAATGCAATCTATTTTTGTTGTCTAAAACACCATTTATGTAAACTGACTTCTTTTCCACTTACATCATCAGCTGAAGTTTTACTAAGAATTTAATAAGAATTAAGAGTTTGTAACAAGCATCTTAAAGGTCTATATGACTACACATGAAGGATATAATTTCACTACTAACTACTAAAGGGTCACCGAAGGCTGACAGAAAAACAGAATACATGTCAAGTACTTAATAAAAGGACATCTACCTAGAAAAGAGGGAGAGGGTATGAAAGTCTGCCAGTTGCACAGATGCTGTGGTTACAGCAGAGGTGATATGAACTCCTAGCCCAGAACACTGATCTTAATGACAGACTTTTTTCAGTTTGGTAAATGCAGGTAAATTTTACTATTTTCTGTATTACAGTTTGAGATACTTGGTTTATATTAATTTTTTTAAACCCTCTAAAATAACACAGATGCTCAATACCATGTAATAGCCTACAACATGGACTTTGAACAATGTTCTTACAAAAAATGCTTGTTATTTGGACTTTACATTTTTCTCCAAGTCATAACTAATCCATGGTTATATCCACCTTCCAGCAGCTTCAAAACTCAAGATTTTAAAACTAGAAACTTTAACTCCTGGAAATTGCTAGCAAATGGAAAGTTACCACTAGAAAGAAAGGAGATCAAAAACCATCCTCTGCAGAATTTATGCTTATTATAAAACCGATCTTATAGCTTTTGGAAAAGTCAAAATTAATTGAATTTTCTTTTTTCTTTTTTTTTTTTTTTGTCTCAGTTACATTCTTGCATCTAGTGGGAAACATCATATCACCTCCACTGCTGCTCTTAGCTTTGAAACAGTAGAAGGATTCTACTAGGCTGGTAAAATTCACACTGTGTTATTAACTTCTTAACTGAAGCAGTTGTCAAACCAAGTTCCCCTTCCCACTATATAAAATGGCAGGTTGGAACAAAAAAAACCCCAGATTATCAATTATCTGTGGATTAAAAAAAAAAATCTTAGTTTCATAAAACAGGGGGAAAGAGCACCGAAAGCCCTCTTTCACACAAGCCAACTTTTAGTTATCTTGCATCCACGCCACAACTTCTTTCCCATGGTCTGCCACAAATGCTTAAGTTAGATATCACTATAAAAGTCCCATTTTTGTACCTATGTAAAATTCTGCTTCATAAAAAAAAGGTGACAACAATGTTAATACATTTTAGATCTTGATATGTGAAGCAATAATCACCTTTACTCCTGAAACAATGACACCATCTGCCGATTTAACCATATTTTTGAAGAAGTCTTCAAGTTTCTCTTTCTTATTTTTCCCACGAACACTCAACTGAAAAACAAATTCATTTATCAAGTTCATTCCTTTTCTGGTCACAATAAAAGCTTTAAAAAAAAATTAAATAGAACTGCATACCATAACTCGCTACACCTAAACTGGTTCTCCTGCTCTCTGCTTAGTGTTATACTCTGCACTAATGGGGACGGGGCACCATGCATCCAGAATGACAGACTACCTCATGTACTAGATTGTTCTTTATCACCTAAAATACTGTTCTAGAAATTAAAAAAAGACCGGCAACATTCTAGCACTTACAGGTAATACCAAATGTACAAGATGTACACTTCAGTAATCAATAATACAGTATTTATCATGCACAGAGCTGCTGACTTAATATAACCATGTCTCACTCTTAAGTGTAGAATAACAGATCTTTCACTTCCAGAGGCTAATGCCGGTTTCAGCCTCCTCAGACTTCTCCTGTCCATCTAAGTTCGCCCAGTTTAGGTAACTGACTTCCTGAAGCAATAAGCATTTCTACATCAAGCAACAGAGGAACCTCATAACATATTTTGATTACAGTATGTACGCAGCTGAGCCACTCTCTGTAATGATTTCTTTAACATTCAGTGTTGATTCCTGCAATTTTAAAAAGTAACTAAAAACTGTTTGCAGAATATTAGCAACCACTAACTCCACCACCAAAGTTATGAATCCAAAAAGTCCTCTCCATTATCTCAACTCAGTAGGTAACGTGTGGGTAGCCACACTAGTCCAATACTTAGAAAAAAAATAACCAAATTTTCACTTACATTGTTAACAAAAAGGCTTTACTCATCACAAACATTTAATTAGAAATTCTCTCTAGTTTTGTTGGCAGCAGAATTTATACCACAGTTCCAGATCCTAAAAATTAGTGTTCCATCTTTCTTGCATCATTCTTCCTCACAACAACAGAAAAAGCTTCAGTCAGAGTGGAAAAGTATAATGTCATGTGAAATCACCACCAAAAACTCATCTTTTTAATTCAAAATATACTAGATTTCCATTAATATTTTTGATGCTGAGGTTAGAGCACAGTGCATTTGGTTCCACAGATGGCAGAAAATGAAATCCTACAGACTAAATTAATTTCTAACTTTTACAATACAAGTATGTCTGGTATGAAGGAACTGATGTAATTTGCTCCAGGAGGTAATGCCCTCTTAATCAATTTTCCATCCTACCATAAAAGTATATCTTGATTTCTGTTGCCAGCAATTCAGTTTTCAATACTCACATCCTGATTATATTCCAAGAATACATGGAAATTTAAATCCTTTCTCAAAATAGGATGTGCTGCCACACGACACAAAAACACTTCATGCATTGCAACTGTCTTCTTGAATATTGCCAAATATTCACTAAAAACGAGAAATAAGACAGACATAAGAACTTCATATGAACCAATTAAGTTTGAGATAAGCCTAGTGAGCAGCTTTAAGAGATCCTCAGTAAGGGTACAAAATTATAAGCCAACGTAATAGAGTTTATCACTCCAATATTTGATCTAGACATAAATAAATAGTACAATGATAACACTAGTGAGAAATGTGAAGCCTGAACACATTACAGAGAGACTTTGGATGAAGAGTCAACAAATACACTCTGATTTTTAAAGTTAGCTAACAGACACTGGTTTGCTGAACATGTAACCTAATGTCATTGTCCTTTCCCCAGTACCCCAAAAAATCAAGAAACTGAAGTACAGACTACAGTCACTAAGTACTATGTACTGATGTGCAAATTCCTTCCTCCCCATCTCCATCCCCATGCCCATTTGCACCCTCCTTACTTATTTAAATGTTCATGTGGCTTTGTTAGCTGTTTAGATAGTCTTTTATTTCACATTAGAGTCCCTAGCCTTTTTGAGCCAAAGCTTACGTTAATGTCTTGCTTCATAGTGATTCTAAAAGTGAAATTAAGTGGTAGGTACAACCGAAAAAAATCGCATTTAACCATAACAATCACATAGTTGCCCAGTTCAGCCAACTCAACTTCAAAGCAATTACTCACTTGCAATTTAATTAAGAGGAAGGCATTATTATCAATACAAGTTTGCTATAATTCATTTTGCTTTGCAAATTCAGTGAATAAGATGTAACTCATCTAAAAATGAGAAAGGGCTCTTTTTCCCGTTCTGAGGTCAAACAGTGAAATTATAATCAACACTTTTCCTTCCACTATGTGCAAGGAGGTTAAGATTTACATACCAGCAAACCAGCAGGGCCAGTGTTGGGAGATGTTTGATCTCAGTGAGAGTAGTAGTCATTCAGTGAAGACAAAAAAGGAGGATGCAGAGGATGGAGGTGGCAGTAGAAGAAACCCAAAGTTTTCTGTGTTATCCAACCCCTAACCAGACCACAAGAGAATCATGATCAGGGCCGCTGGAAAACCAGATTCTTTAAAATCTATAGTGTTTTGCTAATTTCCAGTTTTCTGCATATGAAGTGTATATCTACTCTGCTGTAAATTATGTTGTACATCTCACTAATACAGAGCTTTTTAAGACATTTGCTCACAGCAGCTGAAGTTCGGAGAGAAAGCAGCAGTTCTAAGAGTTCTATGTACTTTTCTTGCCAATTCAGAGCTCTTGATAGAAGCAGTCTAGAAGCAGCGTAAATATACACTTGAAAACTGAAACCAATGACAGGAAAAAGATCAAAGAAGTGAATGCATGATAAGGAAAATGGACGAAGCAAGGAGAAACTTCACTGTGTAACTCAATATGGAACAAGAAGCCTCAGAGCAGATATTTCAATATAAATTAAATTCATAGTAAGGGAAAACACTATTTTCAGGAAGTATATTCTCCTTGTGCAAAAGCAACAAAAAAAAAAGTGTCAAAAAATATTTTCTAGTAATCTTTGTATTTCTTGGGGAACAGAAGGTTGGCATGTATGTTTCCAGTACCAATCACATGCAAAACTCCCTATGTCAATCCCTACATGTATAAAGTCTCATTATGCTTTTAAAATGTGGAACACCAAAACTAAGACAGATAGAGGTTATCTCTGCCCTTTGCAGATGTTCTGTGAAGAAAAGGATCTAACTAGGTTCTTCCTTACAGAAGAATGTAAAAGAACAAGCCAATTTATTTTTCCTGTTTCAGAAGATCTTCCATGAAATTATTTCTACAATTTTCCTAATGGCACTGATCATGATCACTAAGATTAACCCTGGATATGTAGCAACTGGATTCTCAAGCCTGTATCTCACAGAGAACTGTTACACTGAAATCGGAAACATGGGACAGCCAACGGCTTTAAAAGTTTTGGGATATAAATAAATAAAGATATAAAGTAGTAATCAAGTCTACATACGCTTCCAGTTCTTGTTTCATCTTGGTGAATTCTTCTTTAGTCATCGATCCTTCCCCTTCTCCAAGTTTCTGCAATTTCTCCCTGGAGGCATCAAAGTCAGGCCTGGGTGGTGCTGGTGGAATCTGGAATTGAATCCAATTTTTTTTTAATCTCTCATCTTCTCAATCAAACAACAGCCATTCAGTACAGGAACTGTAGGTTGCCTGCAGCCTTTTAATATATGGCTCTCTCTTCCATCATTCATTATAGCATTTCTAGATGAAGTCTCTCATTCATGAGTTATAAGTGCCACATTACTATACCAATTTTGGTCAAATGTCCTTGAAGATTACTAAAGTATGAACTAATGGCTTCAGTTTAATTACAACAGAAACCAAATAATACCTAGCTTTCCCATGACGATGAATTAAAGCCTGAGATCATTATTTTCTAATGAGTTTTGGTTTAGCTTATTTGGTATTACACAACTGTTTTCACACCACCCATTTATAACTCCCAGAGACTTTAAACCAAGAAAACCATTCCCTGTTGTTTGCAGACACTAGCGCTTTCTTGCAGCACTGTTGACATTAAAGATGCATCTGTTGAAACAACAAAGCACACAGTAAACACCACAGTCAAACTAATCCTGAATTGCTGTCAGGAAAGGGACACAGAACAAACCTAAACTATGCTTAAATTTTAGTTTACTGATATGGGCCCATTATATTAACACATTACAAAAAACAAAAAATCCAGCATCTAGACAGTCAACTATCTGAAGCTAGTTATTAACACACTGAAGGTCTAGTTACTTCAAACAGCGTTGCTGACTAAGAAAAGACTAGCTCAAGAAAGGTATGACACATCACAGACTATACTCATTATAATTTACCCCCTAATGAATTAAAATATCTGTTTACCTTCTGCATCAGCAGACACCCCCGAAATACAAAATGAATACCTTTCATACCAAGATGACAAATATTCCTATTTGCAATTAATGTATGAACAGCAGCATCCATTTTTAATATGCGCTATCATAAGGTGACTATCTTGAGACCTCTTGTCTCTGGAGGCTTGAAATAAACTTCAAACTTTAAGTTATTGTGTATTGAAGTTCTCTGTAGTTCTACATGATATTTGTATTGGTTTCCCCCACTCTGATTTATGGTTAAAAGATTCTGATCTTTATAATGAAAACCGGAAAAGTCTAATTATTTCACTCTGCAATTCTAGCTAAAACAAAAGCAACATGAAACTTCTAACATTAGCTTACAAAAACAATACCACAGCTCAACTATCTCTCACACTTTTAACACAGTAGCCTAATGTACACTTGGAGAGAAATGAAACTACTCATTCCTTATGAGAAAAAGGGAAGAAAGTATTACAACTACTGTAACTTTCCTCCAAGCTTGCTTCAACCATGAAATTTGTGTAATTGCATGAAGTTAAGTATTAGAGAAGCTGATCTGATTTTAGAAGGAATGAACACCTGCTGTTTCTACGGCATTTAAAAGCAGTCTCAAGTACTTTTGATACAGCCCATAGAAAATGTTGCATATAAACCAAAAGAACACCAGTACTTACAATATAGCCAGCATAGTCCTCATTCTCAACAAAAGAATCGTGAAGCCAAATAAACTCTTCATGTTGCCGGACAACAGAAAATTCATTTTGTTTGAAATTTGGTAAGGAACTCTAGAGGGGGGAAAAAAGGTAGAATTATGGGTGGGGAAAAAAAAAAAAACACAACAAAAAAATCAGTGTTTTTCATTACTGTATGAGAAGCACCTTGAAGGAACAACAGAAATGTCCTTGTAAAAATAAATGAATCATCCAAGTAAGGATTTGACACAAAAAAAAAGTTCATTCAGCAGTAATTACCCTCATCTTAATTACTGCAGCAATCAATTGGAATAGGTTGCTCAAAAAGGTTGTGGAGTCTCTGCCCTCGGAGATATGTTTCATATTTTATCCATTTAATCTTGGAATTCTGTTTAGCATCTTTATCAGTGATTTGGATGACAGGATGGAGTGTATCCTCAGTGAGTTTGCATATGACACCAGGTCGGGTGCAGACAATCTGCTGCAGGGCAGGAAGACTCTACAGAGGGATCTGAACTGGCTGGATCCCTGGACTGAGGCCAGTTCTATGAGGTTCAACAAGGCAAAGTGACAGGTCCTGCTGTTGGGTCCTAAGAACCCCAGGCAGTGCTACAGACTGGGAGCAGAGCAGTTGGAAAGCTTCCTGGTGGAAAAGGACCTGGCAGTGCTGGCTGACAGCAGGTGAACATGAGCCACAGTGTGCCCAGGTGGCCAAAAAGGCCAATGACATTCTGGCTTGTAGCAGAAATCATGTGGCCTACAGGACTAGGGCAGTGATTGTTTCAATAAACAGTTTTCTTTTGTATATAATTAAGAAAGTGTTGAGTTTAAAAATTCAAGCTTTTACCTTTGTATGGACAGTGAATTTCACTTTATCCCTCTCACTGAGTGCATCTGAGATATCCACTTGCAGAGCAGCATCAGTCTGGAGATCTACATTTATTGCTCGAAGCTAAAAAAGAAAAATCTATTTAGCTTAATTTAAAAAAAAAAAAGTTAATTATATTTCCTTTATTCTCCTCTGAGAAGAACACTGATCCTGCAATGCTGAAGACAGATGACAAAAAACTCCAACATTAAAAGATTATTCTCAGCAAAAAAAGAAATCCCAGTAGCACTCCTTATAGCACAAATAACTATACAAATAATAATCTCCTTTACAGTACTCCTTGTTAGTGCACTATTTTCATTTCTGTATATTGTTACCTTGCTAGTAATTGAGATAGTCAAAGTACATTTACAGACAGCAACAAGTTTGGAAGGTCTTTTCCTTCATTATTCTCTTCATTCCCCTCACTCCTCTGAACTGACAACGTGCTCTAAGTAAATGTACTTGTGAAGGTAATTATAAAGATACTAACAATTGGGAAGGTACTTTCAAGGAGAAATGTGGTCCTATCTTTCAAAGAAAGAGCTGTTAAAGACCTGATTTACTCATATTTTCTTACACTATTTTTCTGTTTAATGTTTCTCATAATATATTTAAAATCTTAAAAATAATATTCTGAGTTTTACAGAACTAAGTCTTCTCAGGGATATTTTTCTGAAACCCCCACAACCAAAAAACTCAAACCCAAGATTTCAATATCTTCAAAATGGCAAAAGTGCAAGGAATACGCATATTTTTTTCTACAAGACACGAAACCCAAACTCTCTTACAAAGTAATTCCAAAGTCATATCGAAAAAAATGAGACAGTGATCAAATACAGAAAAACTGCAATATTATTTGAGCACCACAATATTTGGCAGTAACTCGCTTCAACAGTACTTGCTGCAACTAACTGCTTCTAGACTCCAACTGGAAATTCAAGTCCCCTCGCTCTTGCACCCTTGTTGTTATAGAGGAATTTGTTCCATGACAATTTCATCATGACCAACCAACATTCAGTATGTTTTTACAAGTACTAAGGCTAACTCTGAAATCTTCTCTGAAATAACTGTCAAAAAATATTTCCACGTCATGCTCATGAAGCATACTTTTTACTGAGACACTGTGTCTTCTTTTCATGCTGCATTTTTTCTACAAATATCCTGTTCTACAGTATAAAAATGTTCTGCCTTACAAAGATATAGACCTTTTTCCATGCAAATCTTTTCAGGATTGCATTTTGAAGTCCATACTTAAGTACAGAAATGCTTTAAGTATCAACAACACACAGTACAAAGGTTACACATGAGCAGATTTTGAAGGTAGCTCTGTAAGCCACGGGAGCAGCAGTAGGGGAGAAGCATCAACTGCCACATTTTGCTTTCCATCAGTTATCTTTATCTTAAATCACAATGGCCAGATCCCCCTCTAACTAACCTCAATGTGTGGACAACTGTTGTCTATGTAGCAGCAACCAGACTAATGTATCTTAGAATTAGTGTATTAAAATAAACCAAAATCATGCAGTCTAGCATATTCTGCTAGGCTAGCAAAATGTAAGAGTTCAATAGCTATTACACAAGTAGTAATAGCTTTTCCTTAAAGCAAAGTTGGAAATCATTAAAATGACCACTCAGTAACATATGCACATACCTGATTAAGGCATTGCCTTTTGTTTTGTTTTGTTTTGTTTTCCCAAGGTTTAGGGGGTCACTGCCTCGTACAAAGGCATATTATCACGAAACAGTCCCTTGCAGATCAATTCACAGAGGCAGAATCTCCTAGCTCCTACCGAGTTTACAATGTTCTTAGTATCTAATTTAGGAAAGAAAAATATAATGACATACCAATGTCTCCTGTATGCCATGACACCACATTTTTCAGTGTGTAAAAAAGGTTTTTGTGGTTACACTGTCTGGGGTATTGCTTGTTTTTCTCCAGTCCCCCCAGGATACATTAACAGACATGGTAATCTCAGCAAATAGTCTGGTTTATCTAAATGGCATTTTTGTAATCTTTCACAGGTCACAAATATTTCTACCAAAATACTTTTCCATCTCTTTTTTTTTTTTTTTTTTACAAAGTGGTACTACACAAAATTCTAAGATTCAGTACAACAGCCGATCGAGTCTGTCACTAGAACGTATGTAGGGCACCCTGGTCATATGCACTATTCACAACTTTAGATACAAAACTCTTATCTGTGCTAAGAAAACTAAGAACAAAACACGACAACTTCACTCACAGCATACAACTGTAAAAGAGTATCTGTCTGATTTATACTGAGTTAAGTCTGCAACAGTTTTGAAGAGTTTAATCATATGTTAAATTATGCTATGTAGCCTGACTGCCAAAGGGGAACTTTTTGTATGCAATGGTAATGAAGCATTTATGAAAGGTGTCAAAGACAATCAGAAAATTGAAGGACTTTAAATGTATTCATGTGACACAAGGTTCACTTTGCATTACTGGAAATTGAATTCACCAACAACATCATTGCACAACAAACTTAAGCAAACTCTTCATCACTACAAAAGAAAACTACCACCAATGGATGGTTTTCTAGTTGTAAAGGAAGTAGGAAATGAAAAACTAAAAGAAGTCTGATATGGATGAAAACTGAAAGTACCTTAAAGTATGGAAAAGACAGAGGTAAGATACAGTCCCTTTTTATCTTGCCCCTCTCCAAGTCTAATACATACAAATCACATAATAATTTCATGCTTAGATACGTACTCTACATCCATGCTGAACAACTAGCAAAACAAAAACTAATTTGTTTTAGCTACTTTACAGTTTTCAATGCTTTACTAAGAAAGTCCCTGTTTTATTCAAAGGGTCTAGAAAATACCAGAAGCCAAAACTCTGGCTAAATGATGTTACAGTACTAAAAGAGAACACAATGCAAAGAGAGGATTTTAGCATCTAAGCTCTTGCTTAGGAATCAATTATACTTCAAATGATAACGGAAGGAAGCCGATAGAGGCAAGGGAAAAACAACTAAGCCCTACATTCCTAGGTAATGCAACCATTAACATCAACTTTTATGCTTTAAGGTCTTTCAAAAATGTTAAGAGGGAAAGGACCCTTTCTTCAGCGAGTTCTTTACAGGCAGATAAAAACACAGAGCAAGGGGACAAACAATACCTTTACAACAAAAGCTTCCTAAGTGTCTTCACAGCATTATGTTTCCAGGAGACCTGTTCTAAGGGATAGCTCATTTCCTCTGAATGAGTAGACAAGAGTGTTAGCCAAGTCAGCTAAAGTTTATATCTATATAAAATACACAAGATGGTACTAGTGGAGCAATACTGTGCCACTTTTCAAAGCACATACTGTTTACATTAGAGAGAGCACAAAAATCCCAACAGGAACTGTGTTACTCCAAGCGAACTCAATAGTATCTTCCTAAGTGAAATTTAGAAAAGCAATTCCCACAAGTTCATTTTATGCAGAGCATTTACAATAAGCTCCTTCTACAGACCACCCACAGCTACTTCCTCAAAGATGATTCGCAGTGCTCTGTTTTACAGTTCTCTGGAAAAGGCTCCATATGGTATAACACAATTGTCTGAGAATTACTGTTCTGTGTGGCATCAGCATAAACTCCAGCCCTCTTTTCATCCCATCACCCCAAGGTTAAACTTAACTGTAGCTGATGAACATGATCCTGCAGCGTTAAAAGTACAGTTGTCATAGCAATATCTGGATTCCACAGAGGCAAGAGTACTGATTTTCAAAACTAAAAGCTCAACTACTCAAACCAGAAGTTGCCATCCATGCTTTCAAATAAAGGCTTGACCTACTCGTTTTTTAATTGCAAACAGAGGAAATTTAATTGCAAATCAGAACCAGGGAATCACTTTATGAAAAGATGTCTATTTTTACTATTCTACTAAGAAAAAAATTATACTGTTTTGAAGATTAAAGCAAAGCAAACCCATTCATGAACAGATTGCCATATTGCTTTTGATTAATTTCCCGTATCACAATCAAAATCATGCAGCTAACAACTTGTGTTTTAACCCTAGGGATTTACACAGCAGTAAAAAATAACCCCAGTAAAAAATAACCCCAGAGTGACTGATGATTGAAAAAAGAAACCTAAAAAAAATTAGGGAAACGAGAAAAACACTATTTCGGTTTAATTCTTTAGTGCTGGATGAAGATGGGGGAGGGGAAAAAAAAAGACTGGACTTGGCCAACTGAAATGATGTAAGTTTTACAACAGTACAAACAAGACTGCTAAGGGATTTCTTAAGGTTTTCAAATTACCTTGTGAACTCTGAGGACCTAGCCTTAGAGGGAAAACTAATAACCAACCCAACAAACAAGTTTCAAAGGAGGTCAGATCTGCATTGTTGTGTTCTACCTGCACCTTCAGATAAAGACAACTTAACTGTGCATATCTAAGTGTGTTCCTAAGTACCAGGGAGAACCTACTTAAAATACAATTCTACAACTAACAAGTTCTTTGGTCCTTCTTCTGAAGACAAAGGACAAAAACAATTTCCACCTTCTCTCTTTTTTATCCAGTATTCTTACTAAAGTAGCTGCAAAATTAAAGGCAAAAGCTTTTCAGTAGCCAGAATTGGCCTGATACAATATTAGAATGCCATTTTTAATTTTTGGTCATAAACTGGAACACAAAACACTGAGTTCCTAGCGCATGCAGACAGTCAAAACTAATTTAGTACTTAAAATTGTATTTGACACCTGTGTACAACATAGATACATGATAAAAGTTTATACCAACACAGTGTTTCTCAGATTTTTGTATTTTTTAGTGATATACTGTATGTAGTCACTTCAATAACCACAACAGCCAAGGCAACCTAAGCAACCCTGAAGCTGCTCTTCTATCTTGCTTAGTTGGTCTTTTTTAAGATAATAAGGAAGAGGGGTAATCGGTGTGAGTGAATTATACTGTATTAGCTGATTTGTTGCTTAAGTGAGTCAGAAGAGAAACGAAGGCAAGAAACAGAAGGGCAGAGAAAAAGGTTTTCTCAGTAAGAAGCATAACTGTGGCATTCTGTCCCAACAACAGAACTTCTTTTCAATAAAGGGTTTATTATGCAGCATGTGCCTGCTATGTAAATGTCCCATTGTTATCTACGGGAGAGTCCCTAAGGCCCGAAGGGAGAAGAGGGGCAGGACTGCATCACCCAGGCCCTGGCTCACGGCTGGAGATGGAATCTGGTGCTCCCCAGGGCTGGTCAGCCTGGGCAGTCCCGGCCTTGCCGGGAGCGTGCGGCGGGAGGGGCCCGCAGGGAGAGAACATCGATCCCCAGGCACACACACAACCCCCTCCCGAGCCGTTCCAACGAGAGCACGAAAGAACTGTCCTTCCAAAACTTGTGTGACAGAACAATGAGCAGCCAAGGCTGCACACAGACGCCGATTTCGGCTGTGCCAGGCGCAGGTCCCGGCGGGCGGACAGGCAGCCGCGACCCCGCCGCCCGGCACCCCGCCTCCCTCCCGGCACCCACGCGGCGGGCTCGGGCCGCCAGCGCCCGGAGGCCCCCGCGGAGGGGCCGACCCTGCCCTCCCCCGCCCAGCCCCAGGCGCCGGGGTCTCGACGCCTCCCCGCGGCACTTACACCTCGGTCCTCCTCCGAGAGGAAATCTGGGCCGTCGTCCGAGCCTTCCTGCTTGGGGGCGAGGCGAAGGCGGTGGCGCAGGCCGGGGGGCGCGGAGAGGCAAGGCCAGCGACAGGGAGGGTGTGGGGAGACAAAGCGCACAGGTTAGCGACCGGCCGCGCCGCCCGCCCGCCCCGGCCCAACCCGCGGCCGCCCCAGACCCACCATCATGGCTGCTCGCGGCGCTCTGCGCCCGCCGGAGCCGCGGCCGGGCGGGGCTGCGGCGCGCGGGGCGGGGCGGGGCGGGGCGGCGGCGCCGAGCGGCGCCTCTCGCGAGGGAGCGGCTGCTGAGCGGAGGGGAGGGCAGCGGAGGGGAGGGGAGGGCAGCGGAGGGGAGGGCAGCGAGGGCAGCGAGGGCAGCGGGCGCGGCGGGAGGGACGGAGTGCGGCGGCGGCTGCGGGGCGGAGAGGAGGGGGACCGCCCCCGGACGCGGCGATAGAGGCCGCGTGTGTGGCAGCGCCTTGGTTTCCTCCTGCTCTGGTGTCGGGGTTGGGGCTGGTGAGCACCGGCCCGCGGGTGTTGAGGGCGCAGGGCGTTCCCGGAGCTCAGGAGCGCTCGGGAGCGGCTTTGTTCCCTGGGCTGCCCGGAGCACCGGGAGCGCGCACGGCGGGCAGAGCGCTGCTGCTGCTGTGCCTGAGCTCACTTCACAGCCGAGAGGCAGCTGCCTGCCCCGCGCTGCTCACGGCGGTCGTGTGGGAGATAGGCTTGGCTGCGCCGGCCCTGCCCCGCTCCACTCGTTTGTACCGGCGTGTGTGAAACTGTGCAATGGCACAACGCGAGAAATTTAAGTGTTTTATAATATGGCTTTGATTTATGGGTAGTTACGTGACTAAGATTGACAACTGCCTATTTCAGACTTCAGAATGGAGCCTTTAAATGCCCTTGTGTCTAATGATAGTGGAAAAGGTCAGCATCCACAGACTAAACCAAGTGGAAGTGTGGAGGTTAGGGAGACCACGCCTGAGACTTGCATTTCTGTGCGAATCAGAGCTAGAACGGCCAAGAAACAGCCTCAGGGTGGGGCTTCATGATCAGCATAATCTCATTTTGGCGTTGCCGAGGGATGCGGGCAGATGGACATCAGCACTTCCAGGGGCCTGCGGTCAAGACAGTGGAGGGCACTAGTCCGCCTGCAAATTAATCCTGCAAAAAATTTGCAGTTTCCATGCTAGTTTGTTCCACAGCCAAGCCCATAGTTAGTTACACAAGCAGTAGTGGGACAGGACTACCACTTGCCACAGTAGCACTGTGGATTTAGATGGAATTAAGCCAATCGGGAAACTACACCTTGAGAAATGGTGCTCATGTAGCCTCAAGATAAGTGAAGATAAAGCATTCTGAGCTCTGTACTGCTTTCTAAGGAGTGTGCTTTGGAATTCAGAAATTGTCTCTTGGAAATTGTTCTTAGTGCTGCGGAAAGAGGTATTTGAATATGCATTTAGTAAATAATTTTAAAAGCTGTTCTTAAAACAATTTTCATGTATGTACTCTGTCTTTATACAGACACATGCAACATCATCCAAAATACTGACTTATTACTGGGGTTGAGAAAAATAAAAATATTTGACAAGGTACTGAGAAAGAGTATGTGACCTGTTTAAATACTGGCCTTGACATTCTGAAGGGGTAAAGACAAAGTCACAGAAGAAATTGATTTCTGGGGGTTCACCTGCATGCGTTAGCATATGCGTATGCATAATCTGGGCTCAGTATCCTACTACCATTCCACAAAAGTAAAATTTGGTGACAGATTGAGTTTGCTTTTTCAATGTGTATTATTTATTGTTGATACATTTCAGTAGGACCAAAGAACCCAGGTCAAAGAGTTGAGAAAAGGCTTCATAAGGAATAAAAAGACAATTCTTTCTTCTGGGGAGAGCTAAGTAGGTCAGCTGACTGATCTGAATCCAGCAGAATGACCATCTCAGTTGCATCTACCAAAAAATAAGGTTATATGGCTTTCCAGTGTGGCTCTGGGAGAAGTCTGGTCATGTTTTGGATAGCATGGAGCCTCATGATGGTCCTGGTCTAGTGAAAAGTGTCTCTGTCCATGGCAGGGGGGTTCGAATTAGATGATCTTTAAGGTACCTTTCAACCCAGGCCATTCTATGATTCTCTGATTCTATGATATTCCAAAGCATCAGCAGTACTGTGGCTCCAAAAGTTGATACCAAAAGTTGATACCAAAACTGCTAAGCAGCAATACTATCCATGATATTAATCTTTCGTCCTGCCCTGATCAACTTATCACAGCTCCATGCCCTGCCCTACTTTTCTCCCCATGCTCCTCCCTGCTGGCAGAGCAATGCTTGCTGCATGCTGTTTCTGCTTCAGCAGCTGAGACACGGATCATATATGCCATGGGGACACCCTGGCTAGTAGGTAGGAGAAAAGCACTACCTCCTCTCAGTGTTCTTTTGTCAAGACTCAGCTTAAAAAACCTGCTCAGCAGCTGCAGAATCACAGTTGCCTTTGACAGCTGAGTTCACCCCTCCTAAGGAGTTTCCATCTTGGCTATTTGCACGTTCTCCTCTATGTCTACATAACAATAATAAACCAAGTCAATGAACTAAATATAACCCAGGAAAAATGAAATTACATGTTGTAACTGAGGCAGTCAGTTACTTTGGTACCACCATATTCTTACTCTCCTCCACACACCTGGCTGTCTACACCAACTCTGGTTTTCAGCAGGCCCTGACTCCTGTCAACCTGTCTCGCCAGCAGACAAATTACATAGGATGAAGAAGGGGAAAACTGTTTTAACTGTGAGTTCCATTGACTCTGATAAACTGTATGGATAGCCCAAAGGAGGATGCAGGACTTTGAGGCCAAAAGAAAGGATAGTCTTGGTGCTTTCAAATGACATATTGAGAAATTATTCCCTTTACTAACAACATCTAACCTTTGCTCCTGGACACATTTTGACTCATTCGGCTACTCATTTTTGGGCTCCTTTTTCCTCTCTTTTTTCCTTATTTTTTCTGTTCAGATACCATGTTTTCTTCAGTTGCTAAACTCTTGAAACAAGGATCAGCATTCTCCTGAGTTTACAGAGCTGTAAGTAGAAAGAGGAACCGATTCTGTGCCAGTTAGGGGAACTCTGCTACACTATTGTAACCCATAGGTCTTCCGATTTTTTTAAAAACATCCACTTGCAAAGACCCATAATGTCAGTAGGTGGTGCTATGTACATATTTTTAGGAATTCTTTTCGGCCGAGGATTACCCAGCTAGTAACAGTTCCTTTGTGCTTGAGTGTGATATCCCTGAAAAACTAGAAGCCACACAATTTAAGAAATATTTGGCTTTTATCAGAGAATCACTGCAGAGATCTAAAGGCTTTCCACTCCATGGCATCGTGTCATATAGTACTACCTGTACTTTATGACTCATCATGGAGTGATTCAATGGAGGCGGGCGTTGTACACAAGAGCTCTAGTTCTGATATTTCATTAGCTAGTATGTATTTTCTTAAAAGCGTGAGGAACTGTTCTTCATGCACTTTTTTCTTTTTGAGAAGTTTTTCGACTTCCCTCTCTACACTGAATTACTCTCATTTCCTTCAAACAACCTCATGTACTGTTCATGTGAAGCTCAAATACAGCATCTTGCAAACTGTGGTCAGTAGGACTAACTTTTCTGTATGTCACTGACGGATTGATTCCTCCTTTTGTTTCATCTTTGAGATGAAAATACTTTATTTCCTTACATACTTCATTTAAATTTTCTCTACTGCCGCTAACTGAAACAATATTAAGGAACCAGATCCTTCAAGCTGCCTTTTTTTTTTTTTTTTTGGTGGCAGAGCAGATAATTACATTTGTAAAAGGGGAATCAACATTTACCTTTTATTTCTATATAAAGCTAGAACTTTAAAGTGTAATGTTTTCAGAAGATTAAGGCTGAATGAGAAAAAGGCTTCAAAACCATGTTATAAAACCTGTCTAAAAAGCTCAGTTAGCAATAGAGGCCTTTTACCTCTTATGGAGAAAGATCACTTTACAGAAAATGATAACTCTCAAACTGATCATATTTCTTTAGGAACATGAAGAGGATGTGACCTGTAGGATTAAAAGAACAAAGAGGGAAAAATTTATAATATTATAGAGAAGCGAGAGAAACATAGCTTAGTACAGTGTGTGCCTAGTAACTTCTAGATACTCTGAAGAACAGTAATTTCCATTAGAAAAGGAAAAAAATACCTGCTTCTCAGTGTGGAATAGACTTCTGTGAATTCTAAAGCATAATGGGGTGATATGCAAATATTAAGGACGTGCGGATTTCTCTTCAGACTGCAGGGATCCTGAAAAGGTTCACTCTATAGTTTTAAAAATCCTGGCCTCTTTGCACCAGATGCTGACTATATGTATGCATATATATTATAATGCAGTTCATCACACTTCTTCCCCTTGGAAAGAATCAGATTCTTTCTTTTTAAATTTAATTTACATGGCATTATAGACACTGTCTTTGTTTGCCATGAATGACTTAATGTCCATATGCAGCCACACTGATTCAGAGAGTGGAACTATCTAAAGCCTCATTTTTCACCAGTGCCATGAACTACTGCCAAGAAGCTGTAAGGGAAAGAATATATTATACATGTACATATATGAAAAATTCACTTATTCTGAGCTCTGAAACATTTGAAAGTTTTCTTCTCCTTTGGATTGTGTACTGTTATTAACCTAATCATCATATTTCTATAACAGAATGTAGGCAATCACTGCTCTACACAAATTCTTCTTTAAAAAAGGGTGCAAAAGGAGACTGCTTCTCCTACAGTTCCTATAGGATTGTCCAGGAAAGAGCCTATAAAGAAGTTTTCTCTTTCCCTGGTTCACAGGGATGCATAGAAATGTTTCTAAATAAGTCACAGACTAATCAGCATTTCAGCTATCTACTCTGGATTTAAATCAAATGAACGCATCTCTTTTCCTAAACTCCAGTCCCTTCTTCTTTATAAACCAGCTGAAACGTGGAGTACTTCAGAGAATATTCTGAGAGAATCCTTTTTTATCATTCTTCCCAATTGTTAATGTCTTTTTTTAAGAGAAAGACGGAATTTCCTGCTTCACCTTTGCCCCAGACTAAGGGTTTTACTTGCACAGAATACTGGCATGAAATTCTTTATTGTAACAGAATTTATTATTATAACCAAAAGAGAAAAACCTTTTTGGTGACATCAAAGCTGAAAACAGGGGAATTCTTTTCT